AAAAAAAAAAAAGAAATCACCACCTCATGAAAATAGCTGCACTTGCCATCAAAAATGAGTTTGTGTCCTTTGTGGGGACATGGATGAACCTGGAAACCATCATTCTCAGCAAACTGACAGAAAAGCAGAAGATCAAACACCGCATGTTCTCATTCATAGGTGGGCGTTGAACAATGAGAACACATGGACACAGGGAGAGGAGCACTACACACTGGGGTCAGTTGGGGGGGAATAGAGGAGGGACGGTGGGGGGTGGGGAATAGGGGAGTGATAGCAGGGGGAAAGAAGCCAGATGTAGGTGATGGGGAGGAAGGCAGCAAATCACACTCCCATGTGTGTACCTGTGCAACAACCTTGCATGTTCTTCACATGTACCCCAAAACCTAAAATGCAATAAAATAAATAAATGGGAAAAAAAATCAGAAACAAAGAAATAGAAAAAAAAAAAGAAAGAAAATAGCTGCACTCTCATGTTCATTGCAGTATTATTCATAATAGCCAAGATATAGAAACAACCTAAATACCCAGTGATGGATAAATTGATAAAGAAAATGTGGTATATACACACAATGGAGTATCATTCAATTTTAGAAAAGGAGATCCTGATGTCTGCCACAACTTGGATGGACCTGGAAGACATTATGCTAAGTGAAACAGCCAGACACAGAAAGAAAAATATTGCATGAGGCCAGGCGCCAGGGCTCACACCTGTAATCCCAGCACTTTGGGAGGCCAAGATGGGCAGATCACCTGAGGTCAAGAGTTGGAGACTAGCCTGGCCAACATGGTGAAACCCGGTCTATACTAAAAATACAAAAATTAGCTGGGCATGGTGGCACACGCCTGTAGTCCCAGCTACTCAGGAGGCTGTGGTAGGAGTATTGCTTGAACCCAGTAGCGAAGGTTGCAGTGAGCCGAGATTGTGCCACTGTACTCCAGCCTGGGTGGCAGAGTGAGACTCCTCTCAAAAATAAATAAATAATAAATAAAAATATTACATGACCTCATTTTTATGTGGAATTTTTTAAAGAAAATCTCAAATACGCAGAGAAAGAGAATGAAACAGTGGTTACCACCAGAGGGGACGGGAAGGCAAAGAGAAGATATAGGTCTAAAGATACCAAAGAGTAGATATGTAGTATGAACAAGTCTAGAGGTCTAATGTACAAACGTAAGGAATAAAGTTAATAAGACTGTATTTCATTAGAGATTTTTGTTAAGTAGATTTTAACTGCTCTTGTCACACAAAAAGAGTAACTATATGAGATGTTAGATATATTAATCTGCCTCACTATAGTAACCATTTTACTATTTACACGTATACCATAACATCATGTTGTAAACCTCAAATATATACAATGAATTTTATTTTTAAAACAAGAACAAAAACAAAAACTGACAAATGGATTCCAACATTTATAGAAATGCAAAAGGCCATGAAAAACCCAGGCAATCTTAAAACAGAAAATAGAAAAACAACTACAGATGTCAAGACCTACCATAAAGCTACCAGTAAACTTAGTAAGACATAAGTAAACTTAATAAGTACTGTTTTACAAACATTTTAAAAGAAAATTATAGCTAAAACACAAAGCTACAGCTAGAAACAATTTATATTACACAATTCAAGGAAAAACTTTACTTTGGATTCAGTATCAGGAAAAAGTGAATCCCCTCAACTAGGTGAACTGATTGATTGTCCACTTTGCTATCCCTTCTAGTAAACTTTGTTTGGTGCTTAAGTGTAATAAGGAACTATCACATATTTTTTTTTTTTTTTAAGACACAGTCTTGCTTATAGTACAGTGGTGCCATCATACAGTGGTGCAATCTCGGCTCACTGCAAACTCTACCTCCTACAGTCAAGCAATTCTCCTGCTTGAGCCTCCCAAGTAGCTGGGATTACACACGCCCACCACCACACCTGGCTAATTTTTTCATTTTTAGTAGAGACGAGGTTTCACCATTTTGGTTGGTCAGACTGGTCTCGAACTCCTGACCTCAAGTGATCTGACCACGTCAGCCTCCCAAGGTGCTGGGATTACAGGCATGAGCCACCGGGCCACATATGCTTTTAAACACATATCTTGGCTCTCTTTGCCATGCTTTATTAGGTATTAAATAAGCTGTTTCAAATTATTTTGAATATTAAAATGATGAAGCTATGTCTTCAATGCTTTAAAACTACTCTCTCTCTCTCATTATTTGCCACAAGGAGACAAGAGAAACATGGAATTCCTATGTTGGGCACAATGGCTCATGCCTGTAATCCCAAGACTTTGGGAGGCTGAGGTGGGCAATTACTTGAGGTCAGGAGTTTGAGACAAGCCTAGCCAGCATGGTGAAACCCCGTCTCTACTAAAAATACAAAATAATTCGCAGGGTGTGGTGGCTTGTGCCTATAATCCCAGCTACTTGGAAGGCTGAGGCATGAGAATCGCTTGAACCTAGGAGGTAGAGGTTGCAGTGAACCAAGATTGCACCATTGCACTCTAGCCTGGGTGACA